TTATTTGCTCATTGTCATGGCTTTCAGGAATTTTGCCTTGTCTTTGTCCTCCTTTTTCTTGCTCTGCTTGGTCACACTGAGCTCTGCGATGCCTTTCAACTAAAGGGGTCCCCTCTGGACCTGCTTATAGGCTGACATGGCACCCGCCTGTAGTTTAGTAGGTAGGCTGCCCTGATTACTTATATTAATGATCAAATTGCCCCAGATTTCACTATTGGATGCCCGTTTAAGCTGGCTCCTCTTGTCTATTGGCATGTCCCATTATTCTTTGAATGCCTTTTTTTTTTTTTTTTTTTGAGGTGAAGTCTCGCTCTGTCACCAAGGCTGGAGTGTAGTGGTGACATATCAGCTCACTGAAACCTCCACCTCCCAGGTTCAATAGATTCTCTTGCCTCAACCTCCTGAGTAGCTGGGATTACAGGCATGTGCCACCTCACCCAGCTAATTTTTGTATTTTTAGTAGAGACGGGGTTTCACCATGTTGGTCAGGTTGGTCTCCAACTCCTGGCCTCAAGTGATCGGCCTGCCTCAGCCTCCCAAAGTGCTGGGATTAAGGCGTGGGCAGTGAGACAACACAGCCTGGGTAGCTGAAACAAGTCACCACTCAAGGCAGGAATGAAACATAAATCTTGTCCCTTTCTGAGCCCATTCCCCCAAAATCCCACTTCCAGACACTTCTAACGTGCATTGCCAGGCCAGGTGTGGCTAATCAATCAGTCTTCTTTGTAATGGAACCCAGACACATTCTGCCTCAGAACCCTCATCTCTGGGCTCCAAGCAGCTTCTTGTATTTACTCAGAGTTAGCACATCACCTGGAGCCTACTTAGCATTCCCGCCTTAAGGACACCTCACAGGTGAAAGGACTATGGCAGAGCCCCATGGTAAACAGACATGGGAACAGTCAAATTGGAGGGTCCAGGTAGCAGCGCTGGAAGGCCAGGGCCTTCGAGGGCCTATGTGTCCTAGATGAGGATCAAACTACATACGCTATTGAGAGAAACGGTCTCTGCTGATACAGTAATTGAAATAACAAAGGCAGAAGAGAAAAATCGAGTATGGAGTTTGAGGTTGGCCTATGTAAACTACAGAACAAAGCAAAAACAAAACAAACAAAAAAAAAACCAGTTATTTCAAAATAAAATATAAATAATCATAGTGATGAGTAAGCCACTGAATAAATAGGAATGCAAAAGTCCAAACTGATATAAATAAACGATTAAATAGAATCCTCATTAGAATGCCTACTAATAAATTTTGGTTTGGTTTTGTTTCTGAGATGGAGTCTCTCTCTGTTACCCAGGATGGAGTGCAGTGGCATGATCTTGGCTCACTGCAAACTCTACCTCCTGGGTTCAGGCGATTTCCTCCCTCAGCCTCCCTAAGTAGCTGGGACTACAGACATGTGCCACCCTGCCCAGGTAATTTTTTTTTTTTTCTGTATTTTTAGTAGAGACGAGGTTTCACCATGTTGGCCAGGCTGATCTGAAACGCTTCACCTCAGGTGATTCCCCTACACCTTGGCCTCCCAAAGTGCTGGGATTACAGGTATGAGCCAACGCGCCCAGCCATAAATGTTTTTTTAAAGTGATGTATTTAGCTCCTCCTCCCATCTTGGCTCCTACGGAGGCCTGCTGGGAACAGGACTTCTAAAAGGAACTATGAATGGAAGGCTGTGGTCCAAGGCTGTTTTTGCCGGCTATAAGCGAGGTCTTCAGAACCTAAAGGGAGCACACAGCTCTTCTTAAAATTGAAGGTGTTTATGCCCGAGATGAAACAGAATTCTGTTTGGGCAAGAGATGTGCTTATGTATACAAAGCAAAGAACAACACAGTGACTCCTGGCAGCAAACCAAACAAAACCAGAGTAATCTGGGGAAAGGCATATGGAAACAGTGGCATGGTTCATGCCAAATTCCGAAGCAACCTTCTTGCTAAGGCTATTGGACACAGAATCCGAGTGACGCTTACCCCTCGAGGATTTAAACTAATGAAAAGTCAATAAATAAATGTGGATTTGTGCACTTGTATTTTTGTTAAGTGGATTAAAAAATTTACCTTAAAAAATGACATATTTTGAAAAACCACCATTTAGCAAACTAAAATTAATGGAGTCAAGCAAGGATCACCAATGGACACTGAAATTAATGGATAAAAGTCTGACAAATAACTGGATATTTGTATAATATTAAAGTACCTATTCAGAAACTACTTATTAATTAAAAGTGGGAAGAAAAACAGTAACTACAGCGGAGAACCAGACAGACACCACCCTAATTCACATGATCAAAGCAGTGGTGTGCTAGAGCTCACTCCTACCAACCCAGGAAAGGGACATTTTCCAACCTTGCGTTCCATGATGACAGGCTCTATTTAGAAATTGGCCATGATGGGAGTATTTACAACACAGAATGGGGCAACAGCAAATGCCACAGATCAGGGCGACATCTCCCCTTCCAGAACCAGTTGTTAAATATTTATCAGCATCACACTGGATCAAAGTTTACCAGAAGACAATTCGACTTTCTGTGCCTCCTGATATTTCACACTAAGAAGAGCACAGTATCACTTTTGTTGTATTCTGCCCAAAATGTAGGACCTCAATCTAGTGAGAAAACATCAGTGAGGGGGGAAAAAAAACTAGACTGAGAGGCATCCTACAAAATAACTGGACTGCACTGGCAAAACGTCAAGGTCAGTTGGGCACGGTGGCTCACGCCCATAATCCCAGCACTTTGGGAGGCCAAGGTGGGTGGACCACCTGAGGTGAGGAGTTTCAGAGCAGCCTGACCAACATGGTGAAACCCCATCGCTACTAAAAATACAAAAAATTAGCAGGGTGTGGTGGCAGATGCCTGTAGTTCCAGCTACTTGGGAGGCTGAGGCAGGAGAATTGCTTGAACCGGGGAGATGGAGATTACAGTGAGCCTAGATTGTGCCATTGCACTCCAACCTGGGCAACAAGAGCAAAACTCCGTCTCAAAAGAAAAAAAAAAAAATCAAGGTCATGAAAGACAAAGATGATTGAGGAGATGTCAAAGACTAAAGAGGCAGAACAACTGAAAGCAATATATGATCCTAATTGGATGCTAGGCCAGAAATTTTTTTTTTATTAAGGACATTATTGGGACAACTAGTGAATATAAATAAAATCTTTATATTGGAAAACAAACTAATATCAATGTTAAATTTCTGATTTTGAACACCGTACTATGGTTATATAATAAAATAATGTCCCAAATGCATACAAAAGCATATGGAGGAAAAGGCATAGTTTGCAGCTGTCAGGTGGTTCGCCAAAACTATTTTTTAAAGAAAGAAACATGTTAATAAAGGAAAATGTAGGTACCAGACACGTAGTTCTTTGTACTGTTCTGGGGACTTTTCCGTAAGTCTGAAATCATTTAAACATTAAGTTACAAAAGAAAAACCATGAACGCTACCTGGTCCTCTGCCCTCATCTCGAGGTCCACATGGCTGCAGTTGGAGGGAGGCGGTGAGCAACACGTTCTCCAAGGTCTCAAGGGGCCGCAAGGCCATGAGATCAGAACAGAAGTGAAGGCCACGTCCAGCACCCACCCGCCTCAAGAGCCACAGCCTCTCTCGGGTCTCCACAGCCTCACTCAGGTCTTAACGCGCAGGCTCAGGGATTGGCCGCACGTGCCGTGACATCGCGTCTTTCCCCGGGTGCGTGTGCAGCTCAAGACTTTGCAGGAGGCGCACCTGCAGTAGCCCCACCGCCAGGTGAGCAGTGATGAGCTCTCATTGCCTCAGCCGGAGATTCCAACCACAATGCATGCACCTCTCCTCTGGCTAGCGCGCGTTTCTGAAGGATAGCAAGAATCCTGGCCTCTGATGGCTGTCCTCTCCCCTTCCCCTCCAAGCCCAGTGTTGTGACCCTGTGCCCTCTTTTCCCTCAATTCTGGGCTCAGGAGTCAGGTACTAAGACTCACAGTCACAGAGGGAAGTCAGAAGCTCCCTTGTGAAGGCAGACTTAAGTAAATGCATCTTCTTCCAAAGCCTTCATGTTTTTCTTAATGTTGGCTTTGAGAGCCTAGTTTGTGGCCCAGGTGTTTCTGGCAGGATGCTGGCAGTCTTGGCCAATAGCAGCTGACCACTCCCCCACCCCCCTGGGGCGTGTTTCTGGGCTTTCCCATTATCAATTAGTTGGAAATTGCACATCACTGTGTCCTGGCCTTACAAAAAACACCTGTTCTGATCTACAGCCTCTTGCTGAAGGAACACTAGGAGACAGACAGCGGATACACCACAGGTATTTTTACACTTAACGTTTTCTGATGAAGCCTCATTCATAGGATGAAGCTGCTGTATTTGAATTCTGGGGTGAACACAATAGGTTGCACAGGGAACAGATTCAGGTGCTGCTAAATCTGTTGTGATTATCGTTGCTTTTGCAAGTTTCTTCATTCATCCTATGTAGATAAGCCAGGCTAGACAAGGAATCCATCGTTTAGCATAGTAACTGGCACACAGGAGGTGCTTGGTAAATATCTGAATGACTTTATAATGCCCTGCACATTCTGCAGAGTTGGAGTGATCACTCTCCAGATACCTGTAAATCTGGAAGTATTTTTCCCTATGTTGGCACTGTCATACTTCTTTAAAATGATACTTTAAAAAGAAACTGTGTTCTTCAAATACAGTGCTTGTGGAAGAAGTCCTGAGGTTCCCAAAAATCTCAAATACTGAGCAGTGAAAGGAGACTGAATAACAGAACTATAATCTGTGTTTTTATTCTGTATTCATAAAAATCTAATTATCACTTTTTCTCTGTATTTTTTTTTCTTATCCCCTTCCCCTGCAAAATAAAAAAATTCTATAATGAAAAGTGTGAAGGAAAGACAATTGCTTATTTCAGTTGAGCAGATAGTCTTATCAAACAAATGAAGACAACGAACACATAATCGAGAGTGTGATGGGAGAGGGAAGACAAATTGTTTTTAATGATTCATGGCAACCACATTTATATCCTATTGTTACTAGAGAAAAAAATGTCTTCAGATAACCAGTGGTCAGCAGATGAGGATGAAAGCCAATTATCCCGACTAATCAGGAAATCTAGAGACTCCCCCTTTGTCCCTATAGGTAAGTACAAGCTTTGGGAGGATGCTGGAAAACTGTAATAACATAATGATGCCTTACCCAGTGCCTCTGAGGACTGAAATGTCTCATATAATTGAATTTTTCCAGATAATTGAAGCTAACCTCCTCTAAACATGTGTTGAACTTTCAGAATAATTTCTAGTACATGGTAAGCCCCCAGTAAATGTTAGCTGTTATTTGAGGCATCAAATTTTATTCTACTTTATCCATTTTTTAGAAGTCTACCTAAAATTATCAATTCCTAGTCAGTCAGATGAAATAGGCTGAATGAACATTAATGTTTCTGTCATAACTCAGGACTGTCAACAGCAGCATCAGTTTATTATATTTAAAGTCTGTTAGGAACCATTGAGATGCGTATGTCTCCTTGTCTTGTAAGTAATCTAAACTTTAAGTTCTTATGTCTTCTGTTTATAGATTTTTTCTGTTTCTTTCTTACCATTGGGCACATTAAAAACTTCTGCTTCTAAGCCAGGCATGGTGGCTCATGCCTGTAATCCCAGCACTTTGGGAGGCCGAGGTGGGAGGATTGCTTGAGCTCAGGAGTGCAGGTTGTAGTGAACCAAGATCATACCACTGCACTTCAGCGTGGGTGGCATGGTGAGACCCTGTCTCACAAACGAGAAACCAAAACTTCTGCGTCTAATGTTTTTAATGTACTGTGGCACCAGAAGCTACATACCCAAGCTTGAAAGAACTGTGAGTCAATTCAGAGGAAAGCTCTGAGTAAAAGCCTGGACCTATCTGAACACTTGTGAGCATGAGCTTCGTAGTGGTCATTTTGGCTGCTCAGTGGCTCTCTATGCTGGCTTCCTGGTGTGCTCCAGATGTTGAGTTTGATGGCAAAATAAATTCTGGACTAAAAACGTGATACTATAATTAGGCTGGGCACGGTGGTTCATGCCTGTATCTCAGCACCTTGGGAGGCTGAGGTGGGCAGACAGCTAGAGGTCAGGAGTTTGAGACCAGCCTGGCCAACGTGGTAAAACCCCATCTTTACTAAAAATACAAAAAATTAGCCAGGCATAGTGGTATGTGCCCGTAATCCCAGCTACTCAGGATGCTGAGACACCAGAATCACTTGAACCCAGGAGGAGGAGGTTGCAGTGAGCCGAGATCGCACAACTGTACTCTAGCCTGTGTGCAGAGCAAGACTCTGTCTCAAAAAACAGAGATACCATAATTTGATCACTTAATGATCTATACCTTAGCTTCTTTATGCTTTCCCTACACATATTTAGTATGTTTATGTTTTCAACAAGTACTATGTGTATGTGGACTTAAAAAAAATCACGCCACAAAACCTAAGCACCAATATTATGTTTTAAAGTCTGAGCTTTTGCTTTCTTCTCCATGGATGTATACTTCAGCCATGCCTATTTCCTTCTGTTCATTTTGTCTGGAAACTATTAAAATAATTTACTTAAATCAGACTGACATAAGTTTGCAAAAATGTTAATAGCATAAAACCTTCTAAATAGATGTTTAGAAGTAAAAATAAATACCAGATGTTCCCATTAAGTGTTACTGTGACTCTAGCTACTTTCTAAGTGTCATTATTCACCTATCAAAAAAGAATCAAATTTTACTTTACAGTAATATTGTTTAGAAGCTCCATTTAAGACTTGTAATACAACCCATAAGAAATGGAAGCAAATAATTTAATAGTGATTTATCTTCCTTAGCATTTTTAACTAGAAAAACAATTCGAAAACACAATGCTACGTGAACAGATCACTATAATGAACAGAGATTAATCACTGTGCCTGTTGTACATTAAATTATTTTTCCAGAGACATTTTGGGTGATTAAAGTAGAAAGATAAGAGTGTTTCCAGCTAAATTCAATTATAAACAAACTAGAGACACTATATGGAAAACAGTAAAGGTTCTGACTTTAATCTCGAAAAGAAACAAAATCAATTTAAATAAAAACAACTCTGATTTGATTAAGGGAAGAGAGCCGAGCTTTTGCTAATAAATAAATAACAATAAAATTTGGTAGGCTGGGCAAGGTGGCTCATACCTGTAATCCCAGCACTTTGGTAGGCGAAGGCAGGTGAATCACTTGAAATCAGGAGTTTGAGACCAGCCTGGCCAAGATGGTGACACCCCGTCTCTACCAAAAATACAAACATTAGCCAGGCGTGGTGGCGCATACCTGTAATCCCAACTACTCAGGAGACTGAGGCACGAGAATCATTTGAACTCAAGAGGTGGAGGTTGCAGTGAGCTAAGATCACACCACTGCACTCCACCCTGGACAACAGAGCGAGATTCTGTCTCAAAAAAAAAAAAAAAAAAAAAAATGGAGAGACTACTGTTTTCATGAATTTGAGGGGCATTTGTGTGTGTGTGTTTGTGTTTAGTAGAGGCAGGGTTTCACCATTTTGGCCAGGCTGGTCCTGAACTCCTGACCTCAAGTGATACATCTGCCTCAGCCTCCCAAAGTGCCTGATTACAGGCATGAGTTACCACGCCTAACCCTGTGTTCATGAATTGGAAGGCACAGTCTATTAGTAAAGATGTCAATTATCCCCAAATTGATCTATAGGCTTAATGTCATTCCTGTCAAAACCCCAGCAAGGGTTTTTGTAGACATAGATAAACTTATTCTAAAACTTATATGGAAAGGCACAAGTCCTAGAAAATCTAAAATAATCTTTTTTAGAAAAGATAAAATGGAAAGAATCACTCTGGCTGATATTAAGGCTTACTATATTGCTATAGTAATCAACATGGTGTGGTACTGATGGAAGGTCAGATGCGTAGATCAATGGAATAGAATAGAGAATCCAAAAGGCTGGGCACAGTGGCTCACGCTTATAATCCCAGCATTTCAGGAGGCTGTGGCGGGTGGGTCACTTGGGGCCAGGAGTTCAAGGCCAGCCTGGCCAACATATTGAGACCCATCTCTACTAGAAATACAAAAGTTAGCCAGGCGTGTTGGTGCATATCTGTAATCCCAGCTACTAGAGAGGGTGAGGCACGAAAATCACTTGAACCTGGGAGGTGGAGGTTGCAGTGAGCTGAGATTGCACCACTGCATTCCAGCCTGAGCAAGAGTGAGACTCTGTCTCAAAAGAAAAACAAACAAAAATAGACTCACATGTTTACTATGCAAATGTTTTCTTACTGTGCATTTTGTCATTGTCATATTCTATTACGTCTGCCATATCCTCTTACAGATGTTTTCAATATGCTGTTCTATTTTCTTCAGTTTTTGTTGTTGTTATGTTTTTGTTTTGTTTTGCATTTAACTTTTTTTTTTTTTTTGGGACGGAGTTTCGCTCTCGTCACCCAGGCTGGAGTGCAATGGCGCAATCTCGGCTCACCGCAACCTCCGCCTCCTGGGTTCAGGCAATTCTCCTGCCTCGGCTTCCTGCGTAGCTGGGATTACAGGCATGCGCCACCATGCCCAGCTAATGTTTTGTATTTTTAGTAGAGACGGGGTTTCACCATGTTGACCAGGATGGTCTCGATCTCTTGACCTTGTGATCCACCCGCCTCGGCCTCCCAAAGTGCTGGGATTACAGGCTTGAGCCACCACGCCCGCATTTAACTCTTACTTATCCAAAAAAAATTTTTTTTTGCAGGGTCTGATGTGAAGTACAAATCCAAGTTAGTTCTTCTCTATACCAACAGGTTGTACTTATGGCATTTATTAAATTGTTCCACTATCTGGTGGGTTTTTCTGTTGGTTTGTTCATTTGTTGTTTTGAGATGAAGTCTCGCTCTGTCGCCCAGGCTAGAGTGCAACGCCACGATCTCAGCTCACTGCAACCTCCACCTCCCAGGTTCAAGTGATTCTCCTGCCTCAGCCTCCTGAGTGTCTGGGATTACAGGCAGGTACCACCACGCCTGGCTAATTTTTTTGTATTTTTAGTGGAGACGGGGTTTCACCATGTTGGCCAGGTTGGTCTCGAACTCCTGACCTCAAGTGATCTACCCACCTCGGCCTCCCAAAGTGCTGGGATTATAGACATGAGCCACCACACCTGGCCCAGTATCTGTTATTTGGCTATTTTTATTTTGTCACGGATTCAGTTCTCCGTGTTTTAAATCTTTTTCTAGAATCTTTCCTATTTAGTTGATAAGTTCTTTGTTTTAGAGCCAGTTATATAGAATACTGGTTGTCACAGCAGTATATTCACCCCTTGACATTTGTAGGAAATACAGAAATATTTGTTTAGGCTTCTGAACTTTTCTAGAATCACAGTTCTTGCCAGAGTTATGCTTATTATGCATATATTCATACCTTTTCAACTCTCACTAAAGTTTATTGTTTCACTTTATACAGAAGAACAATTTTTTTTATCACTCTACTGGATTTACTTCTTCTTTCGTAACAGGAAAAGAAGAGTAAAAGCCAAACACTCAAAAGCTGTGGGTCCTGAGATGTTGGATCAGTTCCCTTGCTGGCTAAGTGACTTGCCACAGATAATAACCTTGTAATAACCTTTGAAATCATTCCTCAGGAAATCACATATGGCTAGACAAGTTACTCTATCATTCTAATTTTTCTGGGAAGAGTCAAAACTGCAAATATTGGACCTAAGAATATTAAGGGCTAATTTTAAAATCTGGTAGATCAAATCCAGCTTGGTTCTTTGAAAAATGTTTCTTTTTTTTAAATTGTACTTTAAGTTCTGGGGTACATGTACAGAACATGCAGGTTTGTTACATAGGTATACACTGAAAAATGTTCTTTTTTGAAGTCTTTCCTGCTTATATTCCAGGCTCTTATCCTTTAGACAATCTTTCATTTAACTCTCTAAGCACTTGAAAATTCTTGCCTGCTGTGTATTCAACCCATACATTTTTTTTTTTTTTTCCTAGAGACAGGGTGTCACCCTGTCACCTAGGCTGGAGTGCAGTGGTGCAATCATAGATCCCTGAAGCCTTGAATTCCTGGGCTCACGGCATCCTCCTGCCTCAACCTCCTGAGTAGCTGGGACTATAGATGTGCATGCCTGGCTAATTTTTTATTTTTTGTAGGGGTGAGGGTCTTGCTATGTTGCCCAGGCTGTTCTCAAATTCCTGGTCTCAAGCGATGCTCCTGCCTCAGCCTTCCAAATAACCTATAGTTTTACAATTCACAGGTATAGCAGGCTTTGTGACTGTGGTGTCCTATGGTCTTTACAAATTAAAGTATAGAAGAGATCAGAAAATGTCACTTCATCTTATTCACATGAGAGTTGCTGCCCAAGGATTTGTTGTCGGAGCTGTGACTCTAGGTAACCTGCTTTATTTGTACCTTATGTTCAGCTGTCCTTGAGAGTATATTTACTTATTTTATTCATTCATAGTAGAAGATAATAACTGGGTCAACAAAAAAAAAAGCTGGGTGGTGGCACATGCCTGTAATCTCAGCTACTAGGGAGGCTAAGGCAGGACCATCACTTGAACCTGAGAGGCGGAGGTTACAGTGAGCTGAGCTCGTACCATTGCATTCCAGCCTGGGCAACAAGAGTGAAGCTCCATCAGAAAAAAAAAAAAAAAAGCTGGGTGTGGTGGCTCTCTCTCAACACTTTGGTGGGCTGGGGCGGAGAGATCACTTGAGGTCAGGAGTTCAAGACCAGCCTAGCCAACACTCACCTCTACTAAAAAATACAAAAATTAGCCAGGTGTGGTGGCATGCACTTGTAGTCCCAACTACTCGGGAGGCTGAGGCAGAAGAATCGCTAGAACCTGGGAGGTGGAGGTTGCAGTGAGCTGAGATCACGCCACTGCACTCCAGCCTGAGCATCAGGGCAAGACTCCGTCTCAAAAAGAAAGAAATGAAGTACTGCTATATG